AACCGCTTAGAGAGGGCTGTAAAAGCACTGTGAAGCGGTATATAAGTCTAAAGGCTATTGCGAATTGCTTTCTCTGCAAATCAGCCCAGCAAACAGAGCGGTGGGGATCTTGCAACTATTTCGTTCCTTTCATCCAGGAAAAAAGAAAAGAAAAGAAAAGAAAAAAAAACAAGGAATCTCAGCCCCCCGTTTGCAGCCGGCGCAACACAACCAGGCAAAAATGTGAACCTGTGCAAGGGAAATATCCCCGTCCATACCTCTGGATCAAAACCGCCGAATCGTTCTCCCGTTTTCGACGTTTCCTCTCGGCGTAGCCCCTGAACGCCCTGGAGAACCAGGTTTAAGGCATTAAAAGCGAGCCAACAGAAGCTTTGAAACGGAGCGATGGCATGGAAAGAACGGGGTGGGGGGGGGGTGGGGGGGGGTGGGAGGACAAGGAAGAGATGAGACGGACACGGGGTACCAAATCTTGGAATCGGGGAGGAGGAGGAGGAGAAGACGCAAGGGACGAAAACGAGGAATCACGTCACAAGATGGCAAGGAAACCAGGCCAGGCGGGTGCCCGATGCACGGGCATACAGAATCTGGGCGAGGAGACAGCTTGTGGGAGAAAGGAAATCTCTACCACCCCCACCCCCAAATGATGCCCAACATGTTGAGTCAACCCTACACTGCAACATTTTTGGAAGTTGTTGTGTCCTTGCCACCTCCTCCTCAGGGCTGGGAACTGACCCAAAGTCACCCAGAAGGCTTCGTGTCTAAGGTAGGACTAGAACTCAGGGTCTCCAGCCTCTAAGCCCATGCCTTTAACCCCTGCACCAAACTGGTCCTGCCAGATCCGTCTTCCTACGACTGAGGGAGAGAAAAAAGAGGGACTGGCCCAAAAGTCAATCCGGATGGCTTTGTGCCTAAGGCAGAACTAGAACTCGGGACCGCCAGCTTCTAATCCCATGTCCTTAATCCTTACAACCACACTCTTCCTCTAGTGGCCTTCTAGTTCCTAGGGGGATAGAGATAGAGATAATAGAGATGATAGACAGACAGACAGACACAGAGAGACAGACAGACAGACAGACAGACAAAGAGAGAGAGACAGAGAGAGACAGAGATGTGGATGTTTGGGTGGGGCTGGGTGGGAGGTGGATGGATAGAGAGAGGCAGAGACAGAGACTGACAGAGAGAGACAGAGAGAGACAGAGACAGAGACAGAGACAGAGAGACAGAGACAAAGAGAGACAGAGACACAGAGAGAGGCAGAGACAGAGACAGAGAGAGAGAAAGAGATAGACAGACAGACACAAACACAGACAGAAAGAGAGAGGGAGAGAGAGAGATGAGTGGGTGGATGGGTGGATGTTTGGGTGGGGGTGAGAGGTGGATGGAGAGAGAAAGAGAGAGACAGAGACAGAGACAGAGACAGAGAGACAGAGACGCCCAAAGTCACACAGCCGGCTCCTTGCCGAAGGCAGGACTAGAACTCACAACCTCCCGGTTTCTAACTCAGCACTTCCAGCACCAGACCAACCTGTTGGAATCTGCAGTGGCTTCTTGCCATTTCGTAAGAAGGAAGGCACACAGAGACGATCAAATGAAACCAACCCCCGTTTGTTCTGAAGGTTAAGAGGAGCTTCTTCTAAAATGGAAACGCTTTCCAGCAAGAGGGTGCAAAACCAGCCAGGCAGGCCAACATATTGGGACCAAAAGAGAGATCTCCCAAAAGGCAGCCTTATAAAACTTACTACCACCAGTTGACTAGCCTGACTAGGTAGCTCCAGTGGCTAAGACACTTGAGCTTGTCCATCAGAAAGGTCGGCAGTTCGGCGGTTCGAATCCCTAGTACAGGTCTTCCGCGTGAGCAGGGGGTTGGACTGGATGACCTCCAAGGTCCCTTCCAACTCTATTACTGTTTTAAAAAAATGGCTTTTCAAAGGACTTGAAGAAATGGAAGGAAGATCCAACTTTCTGACTAGGAAGGCGAGGGGTTATTTTCAGGATCAGAGATCTGCCAAAGTTCTCAGGAGAAGCTCCTGGAGAATAACAGAAAAGGCGCCAGGTTTTCCAACAAGAATCAATGGATTGATATCCAAAGGGCTTTTAATTTTATTTTTTGAGACTATTCATAGAGAGATATTTTCTATCCCTCGTGGGATTTAAGCGGAGAACGATAGACGTGAGGTCCCTGAGGCTCTCTGAGGTTGGTTGTTTTGTGGACATCTTATGACCCAACTAGGGAACATCATCAGTGCTACTTGGTGGGACTCGCTCCCTGTTTATATGCAGTAGCTCTGAGCTGGATTATCTTCTTGCAGGTGTTTCATGACCCATCTAGGTAATAACATCGCTGCCTATCAGGAATACTAAAGGTAAAGGTTCCCCTCGTACATCTGTGCTAGTCGTTCCCGACTCTAGGGGGCGGTGCTCATCTCCGTTTCAAAGCCGAAGAGCCAGCGCTGTCCGAAGACGTCTCCGGGGTCATGTGGCCGGCATGACTCAACGCGAAAGGCGCACGGAATGCTGTTACCTTCCCACCAAAGGTGGTCCCTATTTTTCTACTTGCATTTTTTTTTTACGTGATTTCGAACTGCTAGGTTGGCAGAAGCTGGGAATACTACAAGATCCCAAACTGTGAATAAAATACAACGCATATTCTAAGGTCATCCTAAGCAGTGGTGAAATCCAAATTTTTTTACTACTGATTCTGGGGGTGTGGCAGGGGAAGGGTACTGCAAAATCCTCATTCCCTTCCCACTCCTGGGGGTCGGATATTGCAAAATATCCATTCCCACCCCACTCTGGGGCCAGCCAGAGGTGGTATTTGCTGGTTCTCCGAACTACTCAAAAATTCTGCTGCCGGTTCTCCGAACTACTCAAAATTTCCGCTGCCGGTTCTCCGAACTGCTCAAAATTTCCGCTGTAGGTTCGCCAGAACCTGTCAGAACCTGCTGGATTTCACCCCTGTCCCTAAGGCAGATGTCAAATTCTGTTTTTCGCTTTAAGTGTGGGTGGCTACTCCCCCAATTATTCCGAACTCCATTGTTTCAGGGCACCAGAACTCAAACTTGCTCAACATTTCCACAAGGACAAAATACTGTCGTTCCCCACCTCCACGATTGCACAATTCCTTTCAGCCATCCGGGTGTTTACCTTCCACATCTTACATCCCCTCTAAGGATCTCCTTGTACGAAAAGACATCACGGATGGACAAAGGGCCACTTGAGGCAACCGGGGAAGGATTTTACACAATGACCAACACCAAAGGGTTTTTTTTTCTTCAAACGCTTGGAATTCCAGACGCCCAACTCGGCCAGAAAGCAAAAGATGGAAGTTGCAAAGCAGCAGACGGGAAAATGGAAGTATGGACCACAACATCTTCACGCTTCCAAACGAAAATGATGGCAGAAGAAAGGATGGCTCAACTCTAGGTCTTTTTTTTGGAGGGTGGGGAAGTATCGACACGGGCACAACATACCGAAAGAAATGTAGAAGTTTTTGACCTAAGGATGCCCATACAAGCAAACGATAAAAGAATAGACAAGATTTATGGAGGAGGCGCGGTGGCAATTATACTTACGAAATGCTGGCGACCCCAAAAAGAATCCAGAAGCAGAAAGAGGAAAAACAGCAAGAAGAGACGTTAGCAGCAAACCCCTTTTTCATTGTTAACTATCCTTTGTTGTGCGAACAGTTCACAGATACAGACAGTCCTCAGCGGGTGACCGCAACGGAGCCCAATTTTTCTGTTGCTAAGCGAAGACCGTTGCTAAGGGAGTGTTGCCCCATTTTAACGACCTTTCTTGACACCGTCATTAAGTGAATTCCCGCAGTTTTTAAGTTAGCAATGCGTTGGTTCTGTGAATCTGGCTTTTGTTGTGGTCCGCCGGCAGCCTGCCGGGTTGGCGGCAGAGTCAGACAGTGAGGAGGCTGGGGAGGAACATGGGCCAGTCGTGGAGTCTGGGGAAGGCTCGGACGAGGGCTCTGCGTCAGAGGCAGAGAAGGGGACCAGGGCCATCTGGGAGTTATGTGCTGACTCCGGAGCCTCCAGAGTCAAACATCAGCGAGTCAGAGGAACAGGGAGAGTCTGTTCCCAGTGTGTGAATGCGCAGAGCTGCCAGAAGGCAAGAACAGTTAAGACAAAAGGGGCGACTCAGGAGTAAGGCTTGGAGATGATTGGCCCCTTCCATAAGACCTAAAGGAGGAGCAAAGGCACGTGAGCCTTTGCAGGAAGCAACTTTGTTTGTTCTGGTCGGTTTAAATTCTGAAGCTCCGTTCTGACTGTGCTCCGTGTGGCCTTGCAAAGCTAATTGCCAATTAGGTCTTTGGCAGCGTGCCAAGGGAGATAAAGGTGGGTGTTTGTCAGCCTTATCTGTGGCAGACCTCTGTTGGACTCTTTACAAACTATCTGTGACTCATCACAGGCTGGGAATGAACAGAATTCAACAGCCGTTGAAATAAAAAGAGCGTTTTGGGGACTAATCGTGTGCTTTTTACTGTCTCAGGAAGCCTAGGTCAGAACAGCTTCTCCTCGGGCTGGGCTTGTCAGGAGGTTGCAAAAGGGGATTGCAGGAAACTCCGGACAGTGCGCCCGTCGTAATGACGAGCCAGTTGCCAAGCGTCACCTGAATTTTGAGGGAGGGAGGTTTGGCCCAAGATGGGCAGCAAAAAAAAAATATGTAATGACCAAAATAAAAAGTACAAGGCGGTTGCCGAAGATCCAGATTGTGACCGCGGGGTCCCTTACGACAATCGCAACCTTAAGGGGATCGTGAAGTCCCTTTTCCAGATGCTTTCAAACAAACGGTCGTAAACCGAGGACCTCCTGCTCGATCACATGAAGTTTGCATTAAATAAAAGAGAAGGGCAGGGGAGTTGCTGGCGGTCGGATTGAAAAGAGCGCGGTCATTTTTTTATGCTCCTCCAACGAGGAGAACGCTTTCCCCACCCCATCCCCACCCCATGCTCGCCATTCCCCCCCCTCCCCACTTTCTTTGGCCGAACTTACGCTTGCATAGTGGTTGTCGCTGTTTGGAAAGTGAAAAGATTCTCTTTGGGTAGCCAAGTCCTGATAGGAACATCATCTGGAATAAAGGAGGAAGAGGAGAAACAATTGGAGAAGACCACCAAGCACAAAGTTCCATAAGTAGAAGTAGAACGACTGGGGCAAAAGAAAGCCAAGATAGTACCAATAGGGCTTGTCGCTTTGTGTGGGGGCGGGGGGCATTCCAAAACATCTGGAGCACCACTTGAATGTTCTGTCCCCGTCTCACACACGCACACAAACCGATAGCCGGGGGTTAAATAAAACTGGCAGACAACAAATTCTTTCGATAAGAGGATTGGCAGCAACCCAGTAGCTGCTTGCCAAGAACTTTACTCATAGAGGGAGGGGTTGTTCCTCCGTCAGATAAACCCAAACAAGATACACACAGTTCAAGTCCAGTCCGTATTAAATCCAAGGCAGATAACGTTGTTTCCAAAGATACAATGTGACTCGCTAGTAGTTTAGTTTTGTCCGTCACCCACTACTGCTTGACATCCTCAAACTATCACATCTGCCTCTGTCGGGTTCTTGGGAAGGGCTCGATAGGTGGACAGAAATGACCAATCCAGTCCAAAAATGACCAATAATACTTGGACGCAGTGGCATTGACAAAATCCTGATCGGTCAATTGCAGAAGGCAGCTTGACCTGGAATAGCTTATATCCCACAACTGGAGCTTGAACACCGTCAAACATCCACATCTGCCTATTTCAGGTGCTTGGGAAGGACTCGAAAGGTGGACAGAAATGACCAATCCAGCCTAAACATCCGGCTGACTGTGCAACGAACCATAATAATACTTGGACTGCCGTGGCATTGACACAATCCCCATCGGTCAATTGCAAAAGGCAGCTTGACTTTGAAGAGCTGACATCCCGCAACCAGACCTTCGATACCGTCATACATCGACATCTGCCTATCTCAGGTCCTGGGGAAGTAGGCAAGATGCCAAATCCAGTTTAAACATCTGGCCTGGCTCTGTTCTGAATCATCATCATAATAATACTTGAACACCATTGCCGTTGAAAAAAATCCCCATCGGTCAATTGCGAAAGGCAGCTTGACTTGAACGGCTGACATCCCGTGACGATATCTCGAATGCCGTCAAACAACGGTTTCTGCCTATCCCAGGTGCTTGGGAAGGACTCGACAGGTTGACAAAAATGCCAAATCCAGTCTTAACATCTGGCTGGCTGTGCGATGAACCATTGCGTAATAACCAGAACAACCCAGCGGTGCCACCAAGAGAGAAAAGGGGAAGCGATCGATCCCAAGTGTATAACTTATGACGTGGGATAAAAATGATACGATGCCCTCCGGGACAGCTCAGTTCTCGCTGATTTTTATGGGCAAAGTTTGCTACGGCAGCCACAGAGCTGCAATAACCTCTCTAGGATTAGGGTTACTATTACAAAGGAAATAAACCGGCTGAGTGTTTTATGTTTTGGAGCCATTTAATTGCTTTCGGAGTAACAGAAGGGTTTTTTTTTTTCCCCCGTCGTGTTTTTTTTTTGGCCTTATCTTGAATTTCATATCGCAAAAGGTTTGGACTGCCTCCCTTTTGGTAGGGAAACCAAAAATAGCCCAGTTCATTCGTTCACTGACCAGCCGGTAGTGGGTTTCAAAAATGTTCGCTACCGGTTCGGTGGGCGTGGCTAAGTGGGGGCATGTGAGTGAGTGGGCGTGGCCAACTTGACGTCACTCACGCCACTCAGTCACAGCTCACAGGAAAAGGTAGGAAAATTTTGGGAATTTCCACCTATCTACCCTGCCTTCCCTTCGCCAGTTGCCCCTGTTTCCCCTCCTTTAGCAGCCCCGGCCCTAGCCCCGTTTCCTCCCCCACCACCGCCTCTTTGTTCAGGCTGCTAATCTTACGCGGCGGCTGGTCCAGAGTCCGGAAGGCAAGCTGACCGGAGTTTTCAGCGGCCCCCAGCCAGCCGACGCTGCTGGAAAGCGGTTGGCAAAGAAGCCTCCCATCCACAGGCCGCCGAAAAGTACCGGAGGTCGCGGGAAAAGTTGCTGCTGTCACCGCTATGTTCTTCGCACATGCACATCCCATTGGACTTGCAAGGCAACGGGATGCGCGTGTGAGAAGAACATGGCAGCAACGAACATGACAGGTGGGGTGAGCGAGCGGCAACTGGGGACCAGTTCAGGGGCATGGCCAGCCAGCCATCGCTACCGGTTCGGCGACCTTGGCCAAATTACCCCCAGCGGTTCGCACGAACCGGCTGAATACCACCTCTGTGACCAGCCCTAACGTCACATTAACACAACTTGCAACCTTGCCAGAATCAACTTATCTAGCTCCGCGTTTATTTATTGCTTTATTTATCACCCTTAGAAACCTACAAGACAGGTGGACTTCAACTCCCAGAATTCCCCAGCCATGTTTTCTTAAAACTGCCAAGTTTGAGAAATGCTGAGCTAGCCTATAAAGTTTGAGGGGGGGTGGGGGAAATAACTACGGATGAGAATGATTAACGAAAAGAAATCGCATCAACGTATCGCTAAAACAAAAGCTTTAAGGGGATGGAAACGCCAGTACGGCCTATGCAGTATTTAAATAACGTCAAAAACCAAATTCGCCAACATTTAGCTAGGAGATCCCCCCCAAAATCTAAAAATCATAATTTGCCGTTTGACTGGCATTAGGCATGGGTAGATATTTTGGGATAGAAAAAATACTTTTTCTCTGTCCCAATACTTACACTTGGTGTAAAAGAGATAATAAACCTTCGATAAACTACAAAGCTACTATAGCAACTACAAAAGGATTTACTTCCAGCCAAGGGAAACTAACCTATGGAACTCAGTGCAGGAAGTCCTCGACTTACAACGGTTCATTTAGTGACCAAAAGTTACAACGGCACTGAAAAAAAGGACTTGTGACTGTTTTTCACACTTAACGACCGTTGCAGCTCCCCCATGGCCACGCAATCAAAATTCAGATGCTTGGCAACAGACAACCGTATTTACGATGGTTGCTGGATCCCGGGGATCACTTGATCCCTTTTTGGGATCTTCCGATAAGTAAAGTCAATACAGATTCACTTAACAACCAGGTTACTAACGTATCGACAAGCAGTGATTCACGCAAGGTCGCGAAATGGGCCCAAACTCACTGACAAAGTGAGCCTCGCTTAGCAACGTAAATGCTGGGCTCACCGGTGGTCGTAAAGTCGAGGACTACCTGTACCACTGTTCTGCCCCATCTACGGAACCAAAGAACGCAGCACACACAAAGTCTGTACAAACCTTAGTTTACTAAATTAAATCAGTCCTTTTCAAACAAAGGTTGTTAATTAACTTTCTTAACAGCCTACAAAGACTCCAAAGAATAAATAATTGCAATCTTACTAGGATTGGCAGAAAGCCCAGAAGCAATTTGCAGGTAACTGATAAAAGAACTAAGATCAAGACGCGAAGGAGAGTGAACGAAGTTGTTCCCTGCAAATTGCTTCAGTCGATGTTCCTCCTTAAATAAGTTAAGGGAGTGGCCAATTAGCCCCAAGCCTTATTCTCGAGGAGACCTCCTCCTGAGGAGCCACTTCTGCCTTTTGGCAGCTCTGCGCGCCCGTGCATCGAGAAGAGGCTCCTCCTCTTCGTCCTCTTCACTTAAGGGAGCTTCTGGAGGTTCTGAAGGCCCTGATTGAATCCCCGCCTCTGGCACCACATCTTCTCCAGCCTCCTCACTGTCCGACTCGAGTGCCAGCTGCATAGGCTGCTGGCGCAGCACCACACCAGCCTCCTCGCTGTCGGGATCAGCTACTAGCTGCACAGGCCGCATACGGGCCACAACAACTACCCCTTTGCAGCAAGAGATGGCCATGATTAAGCCAACCTAACAGGATTGCACCTACCGGAAACGCGGTCAATGCTATACATTCTTTCCAGCTTCTTCCTGCGCCAGCCGGTCTCACCAGCTTCGTTCTGATGATGGTGCTGATGTTCTTGTTGGTGGTGTTGATGATGATGATGGTGGTGGTGGTGGTGGTGGTGGTGTGGTTGGTGTTGATTGTGATGTTCTAGATCAAACGGATGCTGAGATGACACCGTCAGCTGGGCACAAGTGGGATACTCTTTCGAGCCTTGCTGGGGACTTGGCCAACTGCCCTTGCATTGTCGGCTGATGTTGTGAGAACTTCCGGCGTTGTGGAGAGGCTGACCTAAGGACCGTTCCCCGTCCACCTCTTCTTCTTCCTCTGTCCCTTTGAGGACTACCAGCTCCATGCTCTCGCTCTGGTGCTGCGAGAGCATGGGCCTCTCGCTGGAAATGGTGTAGACGCGGGGCTTGGGGCCTTCGCCGGCCAGCTTCTCACCAGCTTCCTCGGGGAAGGTGGGCTGAAACTTCCCGTCAGAAATGAGAGACAGGCGACGCTTGTTCTGAACACCCACGTGGATCTCTGGGGAGTCTTCTTGACCGACGTAGGACTCTGCCAACAAGCGATCTGAAAACAGGATGAGAAAGACAAGATTTGAGGGACTTTCTCCCTATCTGGGTGAGGACCATCTTGGTTGACCCAACCCAACATGGGTTGAGTCTTCTTCACGACATATGACTCTGCCAACAAGTGATCTAAAAACAGGATGAGAAAGACAAGATTTGGGGGACTTTCTCCCTATCTGGGTAAGGACCATCCTTGGTTGACCCAACCAACATGGGTTGAGTCTTCTTCACGACATATGACTCTGCCAACAAGCGATCTGAAAATAGGATGAGAAACACACAAGATTTGAGGGACTTTTCTCCCTATCTGGGTAAGGACCATCCTTGGTTGACCCAACCCAACCTAGTGGCCCAAACGATTGCTGAGAAACTTCAGCAGTTGCTTGTCCCAGCTTCTGCCAACCTAGCAGTTCAAAAGCACATAAAAAAAAGGCAAGTAGAAAAATAGGGACCACCTTTGGTGGGAAGGTAAGAGCGTTCCGTGCGCCTTTGGCGTTGAGTCATGCTGGCCACATGACCACGGAGACGTCTTCGGACAGCGCTGGCTCTTCGGCTTTGAAACGGAGATGAGCACCGCCCCCTAGAGTCGGGAACTCTAGTATGTGCGAGGGGAACCTTTACCTTTTAAGATTAATCTCCAGGTGCAGCGAAGGGGCCTGTAAAATCAATGCAGTACGAATCTTGGGAAACGTATGTGGTCTTACCTGCACCATTCTTGCCTTCGGGATGGTTTTGAGAAAGATAATCCCCAAAAGCCCTCGCCGCTCTTCAAAGAATCCAGTGTGGGGAAATGCAAACATCAAAAGGCCCAAAGGGAAAGAGAAGGAAGAGAAAAAAAATTATTAATAATCCCGGCAGCAAAATTCAAGGCACTGCTTACCTGCCAATCCCATTGCCTTCCCCCCTCCCCTCTCCCAAACGGTAATTTTAATAAGAGATTGCAAAGAGATGCAAAGTGGCCCCGTAAAATAAAAATTGCCTGCATTTTTCATTCCTCCCCCCCCCCCTTTTACTTTCCCCCCCCCCCCACTCTGTCTCTCCGGCATGCGTACTCAGCTGGTTCAATGTTGCTAATGCTGCTCTTGGCCTTACACCAGCAGAAAAATTGACAAGTGATATATATTCTGCTGAGAAATTAAAGATATTTTCTTGTGGGGAAGAGAGGGAGGGAGGGAGGGAGGGAGGGAGGGAGGGAGGGGGGGAGAGAGAAATTATTCAAATTGGGAAAACCAGGAAGGACCACAGGTTTCTCCAGAGCCGCCTGTTCCCACGGTCCGGCCGTATTTTTGGATTAACTACGTGCCATCAAATTAGGCTCAGCTTTGAGGGACCACGTAGATGGAGCTTGTCTAGGATGGATTTGTAGGTAAGAAGGAAATGGGATCTGATAGACTCTTCTTTTGATCCTTAATAGAGGGAAGGGGAGGAGACAAGAGGAGAGGAGAGGAGAGGAGAGGAGAGGGAGAAAGGAGAAAGGAGAAAGGAAAAAGGAGAAAGGAGAAAGGAGAAAGGAGAAAGGAGAAGAAGAAAGGAGAGAGGAGAGGAGAGGGAGAGGGAAAAAGGAGAGAGGAGAAGAAGAAAGAAGAAAGAAGAAAGAAGAAAGAAGAGAGGAGGGGAGAGGAAGAGAGGAGAGGGAGAAAGGAGAAAGGAGAAAAGAGAAAAGAGAAAAGAGAAGAAGAAAGGAGAGAGGAAAGGAGAGGGAGAGGGAGAAAGGAGAAAAGAGAAAAGAGAAGAAGAAAGGAGAGAGGAGAGGGAGAGGGAGAAAAGAGAAGAAGAAAGAAGAAAGAGGAGAGGAGAGAGAAAAGAAAAGAGAAAAGAGAAGAAGAAAGTAGAGGGGAGAAGAGAGGGGAGGGAAGGACAGGACAGGACAGGACAGGACAGGACAGGACAGGACAGGACAGGAAAGGAAAGGACAGGACAGGACAGGACAGGACAGGACAGGACAGGACAGGACAGGACAGGAAAGGACAGGAAAGGAAAGGAAAGGAAAGGAAAGGAAAGGAAAGGAAAGGAAAGGAAAGGAAGGAAGAGGAAGGGAGGGGGAGAAGAAGGGAAAGGGAAGGGGAGAGGAAGGAAGGATCTATCTATCTAACAAAAGGAAATTCAATGTAGAGAAAAGTAAAGTCTTACACTTCGATAAGAAAAACCAAAAGCACACATATAAACTGGGGGGGAAACCAGGCTTAATAGCAGTGACTGTGAGAGGGATCTTGGACTCTTAGTGGACAACCAGCTAACTATGAGCCAGCAGTGTGCAGCGGCAGCTAAAAAAGCCAATGCAATCCTAAATGGGGTAGGGTCTCCTGCTTGAGCGGGGGGTTGGACTAGATGACCTATAAGGTCCCTTCCGACTCTGTTAATCTGTTAAAACCATACAATCCTGAACGTCAGGCGATTCTCCACCTTTTTTGATCACACTTCGAAAGTCCACCTCGCCCTCGTTCCCTTCCAGCGTGGCTCTCTGTCCCTTTTGGGAGGAGAAACATCTCCTGGTCTCTAAACTCGTCTTGCAAGTTCGGTTGTTTACCAAGAGCCAAAACAAGAAGAAGAAGACGAAGAAGGAGAAGAAAAATTCACAGAAGGTAATAAGCCACCGAGGGAAGTAATTGTTCAGGGGCGCTGGGAATCAAATTAAAGAGCTTGAGGAACCCCAAGAGATGCCAAATTGAACTTCTGAGAATCTCTTACTCCAGGGACTACGTAGAGATCTCCAGTTTGGCCAACCCGCTTTGCTTTTTAACCCTAAAGAAAGAGAAACACCTGGGAATAACAGAATAACAGCTCTGGAAGGGACCGTGGAGGTCTTCTAGTCCATCCCCGTGCTCAAGCAGGAAAAACCTAGACGTTTCAGGCAAAAGGTTGTCCAGTCTCTTCTTGAAAGCCTCCAGTGATGGAGCTTCTGAAAGCAAGTCATTTCACTGGTTCAATTGTTCTCACTTTTAGGAAATTCCTCCTTAGTTCTAAGTTGCTTCTCTCCTTAGTTAGTTTCCATCCGTTCCTTCTTGTCCTGCCTTCTGGTGCTTTGGAGAATAGCTTGACTGCCTCTTCTTTGGGGGCAGCCCCTGAGATATTGGAAGACTGCTATCATGTCTCCCCTGGTCCTTCTTTTCATCAAACTAGACATACCCAGTTCCTGCAACCGTTCTTTGTATGTTTTAATCTCCAAGCCTTTAATAATCATCTCCGTTGCTCTTCTCTGAACTTTGTCCAAAGTCTTTTGGACCAAAACTGGATGCAGTATTTCGGGGAGGTTGGGTGTGTGTGTGTGGCCTCACTCAGGTTTTATAAAGCGGTAATAATGCATAAAATAATAATAAACTGACTTATGGCTGGCTCTCGCATTTATAACCGTCGCAGCGTCCTCATTGGCCATCTTCCTAGCTGGCTCTCGACAAGCCAAGCCGAACTGGGAGACGGGATTCGTTTAAAAACTGCCATTTAACAACCCATGGCAACAACAACAAAAATTGTCGTCAAATTGGCCGCAAACTCGCGTAACCATCTTGCTTAAGAACGGAAATTCTGCTCCCGATTGTGGTCGTGAATCGAGGATTACATGCATTCCAGAATGAGAAGGAAACCTAAAATCCCAGCTAGGAAAGAAGGAAGGGGGTTCGACAGAGGTAGTCCTCGACTTTCAACCGTTCGTTTAGTGACCGTTCAAAGTTACAACCGCAATTTTAAAGAAGTGAATTAGGACCGTGTTTCACACTTACGACCGTAGCAGCCTCCCCCTGGTCACGCGATTCAAATTCGGACGCTTGGCAACTGCTTCGTATTTATGACAGTCGTAGTCTCCTGGGGGAAATCACACGATCCCCTTTTGCGCCGCCAAGTCAAAGGGGAAGCTGGATTCGCTTAATGACAGTGTGACTCACTTAACAGCCGCAGTGACTTGCTTAACAACGGTCAGCTGGAAAGATCGCGAAGCGGGGCAAAATTCACCGAGCAAATGTTTCGCTTAGCAACAGAAACGAGCTCAATTGTGATTCGTAAGTCAGCGACTGTCGGTATATTTGGCTTGCATTAAATAATTTGCGGTCGAAGAAGCAGCAAGCGAATATACGGGACGACAAGAATCTGTTTTAGACTTATAGAAAAACAGCCGTACGTGCTTTTCTACAGATCCTCGGGTTTTGCAACTGGGGAGGGGAAAAAAATCCCAAGAGATGCTATTTCCCAGCAAACTTTTATTGTTCGTGGCAGGACTAGAAACTGTTTTCAGCCGGTTAGGCTTTTGATTTTCCTTCTAAAGATCCTCAGAGCCCCCAATCCACCCCCCCCCCCAGTTTTAGCAGTGCCCTGTTTTCGATGTTCGTCAGAGTTGGAAGACGACCGAGAAAAAGGTCACTCCGTCTGCAGAATCCATCTCTTTCAGAAACCGAGTGGGTCCCCTTGGATCTTCAAACCTATCCGGTTAAGGTGGTGGAAAGGGACAGATAGAAATCAAAGAGAGCGAAGAGATTTTTTTAAGGCACAGATTCTAGCTGGGTGACCTTGGGCTAACATTTCCTTCCCACCAGACCAGTCCAAGCCGATAGATTCCTTGTCGCAGGAGTGGGGGAGAAGGAGGAAAAGCCAAAAAGGAGGCAGGGATATTTTGTGCGCCATCTGGAGTTGTCCGAATTTTGATGGGCAGCGGGACAGCTTCACAAAAGAGAACAAGGAAACATTGGAATAATTCTTGCCACCGTTCTTTTTCTGCTATATTAAGAGACAAAAAGCACCTCTGTTTTTTTTTTCATTGGCTGTCAGCCCTGTCAAATCGAAGGAACGAGTCCATCAACCCTTCAACGGCATCAAGACTTAAGGAGAGGCCCGGCTACAGCCGGAGGGAAGTGTCCTTACTAGTGCTGATCTCCAAATTATAGGAAATTAAGAGTGATTTCCGTCTCCTTCTTAACCTGGCAAAATTGCAGGATGGAGGCAAGCGGAAGCGTTCTGGGATTTCGTCTCCCGTTGAGGTGTTCTTTTTCTAAACGCTTCTGAAATTTAAGAAGAGCGTCTCGGAGGGAGGAATCACGGGAGAACGTTGGTGGTAGGAGAGGCACAAATGAAGGTGAATAGAGGTGTCTCAGGATAACGTTGCAGGATCCAATCTGGGTCGGTCGCCAATGCCAGAGGTTTTGCCTTCCGAGCTTTTCGGACTCGTTCTGGAAACCATCTTCAGGGAACTTCTCTCTACCAGAATATATATCATCCATCCATCCATCCATCCATCCATCCATCCATCCATCCATCCATCTATCTATCTATCTACCTACCTACCTACCTACCTACCTATCTATCTATCTATCTATCTATCTATCTATCTATCTATCTATCCATCCATCTGACATCTGGAGTTAAATCCTGACTGGCTCAAGGTTGATTCAGCCTTCCATCTTTCCAAGGTCAGTAAAATGAGGACTTGGATTGTTGAGGGCAAACCACTTAGGGCTGCAAAGCACTGTGAAGAGGTATATAACTCTTATTGCTATCTATCTATCTATCTGTCTATCTGTCTATCTATCTATCTATCCATCCTCCAAAGTCCCTTCTAACTCTGTTATTCTGTTCCTATGTGTCTGTCTGTCTGTCTGTCTGTCTATCATCTCTCTCTCTCTCTCTCTCTCTCTCTCTCGTCTATCATCAATCTATCCTTCTGAGCCATCTACGTATCTTATCTTATCTTATCTCTCTATCTATCCATCCATCCATCCATCCTCTAGTCCCTTCTAACTCTGTTATTCTCTTCCTATGTGTCTGTCTATCTGTCTATCATCTTTCTATCTATCTATTTATCTCTCTCTCTCTCTCTCTCTCATCTATCATCAATCTATCCTTCTGAGCCATCTACTTATCTTATCTATCTGTCTATCTCTCTATCTATCCATCCATCCATCCATCCATCCATCCATCCATCCATCCATCCATCCTCCAGTCCCTTCTAACTCTGTTATTCTCTTCCTATGTGTCTATCTGTCTATCATCTTTCTATCTATCTATCTATTTATCTGTCTGTCTGTCTGTCTGTCTGTCTGTCTGTCTGTCTGTCTCTCTATTGTCTATCATCAATCTATCCTTCTGAGCCATCTACTTATCTTATCTATCTATCTATCTATCTATCTATCTATCTATCTATCTATGATTCCAAATTGAAGACTACCTGTGGTTCTTTACATTGATTCTGAGAAAAACAAAGAGGTCTACCACACACACACAAACACATATGCACACACACCCTCTCACATCACTTCTGATAATTCAACAAGCGCCACCCACATTGTTTGCACATTCTGAACAATGAGGACTAGACGCTTTGGAGCCCGAAAGCCTGTTCTCTTAGCGCATCAGATGCCAAATTCTGCGCTTGAGAAACTGAAGCTCTCTCAGTTCGGTTTGAGAGGCACAGCAAAAGTAGGAATCAGCCTCAAATCACAGTTAAATCCAGGAAGACCCTCCTCAAATCCTGAAAACATCCCAAAGATTGCAAGTTAATTCTATATAGGAATTAAACTCAAGCCTCCAGGACAGAAAAGGTACCTCTGCAAATGAGTTGCCCAAATTCTCTACATCGTCCCGCAAAAGAAATCCAAGGCCAATTGCACACTCACTGAGCGTGTAAAACACCAATTTGAATAACTTTCCCTTTTTCCCCACGCCTGCTCCAATAATTCACTCCTGAAGATTTTCATGGACGCTCTTACCTGTCTGGCCTGGTTGGGGGGGGGGCACCCCTAAACAGGGCCTCCCTCCCCTTTTCTTTGGAAAAGCCGATCTATTCTTGGGGGACGATCTGAGGATTTTGGGGTGCATGCAGTTTGGAGGTCACGCCTCGCCCCCTTAAAGCCAGGGGTCAAGAAAGTGACAGGGAACTTCTTCTTCAGAAGGAGGAGGACCAAAGACCGCATAGGACAAGGCAGATTGAGGCCTTGGACAGAGATGTCACAACTGCACAGCCAACGCTGCGGCTCCATGCTGCATTCACCAAGTTGGAAGTTCGCAAGGAGTAAAGCAGGGGCTCCCTGGAGCTTTGCCACAAATGTTCCAACAGGAGACGGGCAGCTTGCCAAGTGCTTCGCACCTCACGTCAGCTGCTATTTCGACCCAATGCGAAGCGACAGCCGGGCTGAAAATATAGAGCAGCGGCGGCTTCTGGGCTGGCCGGTATGGAAAAGTTTGGGGTTTGTTTGGGGTTTTTTTTTTTTTAAAGTCTCTCTTTCTTTCTTAAGATGTCTTGATGTCGTGCTCACAGGGCTGACATGTGCCTTAGTAATCAAACTCCTTCCTTCCTTCCTCTTTCCTTCCCTCTTTCTCTTCCCTTCCCCTTCTTCCCCTCCCCTCCCTCCCCCTCCTCCCTCCCCATTCCCTCCCCCTTCTCTTCCCTTCCTCTTTCTTCCTTTCCTTTCCTTCTTTCCTTCCCTTCCCTTTTTGCTCCTTCCCCTCCCCTCCCTTCCTTTCCTTTCCTTTCCACTTTCTTTTCTTTTCCTTCCCTTCCTTTCCTTTCCCTTTCCTTTCTTTCCCTTTCTTTCCTTTTTCCTTTCCTTTCCTCTTTCCTTTCCACTTTCCTTTCCACTTCCCTTCCCTTCCTTTTCTTTCCCTTCACTTCCTTTCCTTTCCTTCCTTTCCTTTTTCCTTTTCTTTCCACTTTCCTTTCCTGTCCTTCCCCTCCCTTCCCTTCCCTTCCTTTCCTTTCCACTTTCCTTCTTTCCTTTCCTTTCCTTTCCACTTTCCTTTCCTTTTCCTT